TCTTTCCCTGAAGCTTTTATAACTAATCATTGCATAGGTGGGCAAAGGATTGTGTTAGCATCCAACCCATACAGAAACCATACAAAGACTTTGACTTGATTCTTCTTTAATCTTTGCTGGGGATAAGAAACGTAGTAACTACATGTAATGTGTTATTGTGATAAAATCTAAACTCTGTATTGGTACAAATAGGAAACTATTAATTTACCGATTAGAACAGCAAAGCACCAAAGGGCTTGCTCAGACTTTGTTTAATTTTACTAGAGAAAATACACACACTCATAAACTAATCGGAAACAATAAAATGAATGTAACTTCTTGATCCTAAGGCAACTTTTTTCCATTTGTATCTCATAATGAGGCTTTGGGAGCAGACAATAAAAGACACATTTGCAATTTACAATTATCCATTCAAACCAAAAGGTTGAGGGAATCTCACAGCAGCCAGAGAGGTAATTACTGGAGCTGAGTTCAATACTTACAATATCACAGCTGAAATCTCCAACAGGTTTTTGTTCCCTTCTTGAAGAGGGAACTCTGTTTGTTGACTGTGGAAGTCAATAGATTGGTAATTCTGTGGCCTTTACGTTTCCCATACAAAAAATTAATTTCACTCAAGAAAAAAGTATGCCTTCATATCTTGTGTCATAGAAGGAAAATTTTTGTATATTTTTTTTATAATGCAGATATTTCAGGCTTCTGTGGTCACCCACCCAACCAACCAAAATTAAATTACACAGGGATCAAATGGGATTGCGTTTGAGTTTTGACAAATCTGCCTTCCAAAAATAAATCTGCACAAAAGAAATCCCAAGTGAAAAAATCTGAATAACTCTACTGAACACCCAAACCTTCTATTATAATACTATTATTTAGAAGCCCATCTATGAATGCTGCCCCCAAATTTATGCTTCTGTTGAGTATCAGAAGCTACACAGATAAATTCTGAGCACACCACCATCAATCTCCTCAGAATTCCTATATCCAGTTCCTTGCTTTTGCCACAAAGTCTAACAGATCATTTCCCCTCTATTTACTTCTTCCTACAAAAACAGAGAGTACACACACTGGACAGTCAATATGACATTCTGACATGAAAAACCAATGCCTCTTTGCTTTCTGTTCCCCTCCCTTAAATGCCTACTTAGCCAGCACTGGTGCTGTCTTCATCATCTTTCTGATCCTGCCTGTCAAAATTAATCTTTCTAAAATACTTCAGGATAACTAGAAAATATTCTGCCTTTATCTTTTTTGTTTGTTTGTTTCAATTTCAAACCAGTATTATTTGTTTGCTTTCCTACTTTAAGAAACTCTCAAAACAGTCTGTACTTAAATTGCTTTTAGCCTATGTGTCATAACTAAAATAAGATACTGACTTCTTACGAGATTCTTATTCTATATTTATGCAACATTGATTAAGCCTTTGGATGTTTCCTTAGAACTGATGACCTAATAGGAGGGTGGAAAATAACAGCATATCATGAATCTCCAGAAAGTGAGCTGCACTGAAGTTGTTATTTCTATTACAAATAAAGGAAAAGAAAATCCCAAACAAAAACAATTCAACAAACGCAGTGAATTTTCAACTGATATGGGAAGAGACGCTTTGAAGAATTGGTGCTTTGAAACTCAAATGGCTTATACTTGCCAGATTTCCTGACTCTTTGGGTTGCAAGGGTGCTCTGTCTGGCACGAAACACCTTCTATTGTCTTGTGATCCAGGGAACACATTTCATAGGCCGCCCTGCCAAAGCGACTAGAGCTACTCTGCTGTGAACCACACAGACCACAAGCCCAGGGAGATTTTGTGGGATGGGTATAAGCAGCAGATAGGATGAACTCTCTTCATAGACTGCATAGCAGTATTTACAAATCTGAAAGTTAGGAAAAGGTCAGACAACTCAGTTGAATGGCTATAAGGCTTTAGGAGTCTTGTTGACTTGGTTCATAACACCTCCAATTGTTTCTATAAAGCATTCACACACTTGTAGTAGAGACAATTGTGCTTGGATATCATAACACTGAAAAAAAAAATTATTAACTTTTGCTTATACAGAGGAAGTAAGATTTGTGGCCAAGACCCAGAAAATCCTGGGGGGTGCTCTTTAGCACACAGGTACCAAAGCACACACAGGATGCCTGCACCGTGTATACCTCAGCTCTCAGAGCTGGACTGTAAATTGGAGCATCACTCCAACACTCAACAGAGAATCGCAGACCACTTTGCCTGTACTGGCAATGATGTTTATTTCTGTTTGGGTGCAGCGTGGAGAGCCCATACAGAGTGTTAAAATGGATGGCCTCAGCGTGGAAGGAATTCCCCAGCATGCCCCAATGACACCTCCCAACACACCGGATCCCCGGAGCCCACCGCATCCTGACAACATTGCCCCAGGTAACGTACGAGTTTACAGGCATTAAATATATTTAGCTCTCATTTCAGAGCAGAGGAGGGACCTCTTTATAAAGCACTGTCTTCAGTAAGAATTTGTTAATGGATTTACTACCAGAAATAAAAAACTTCAAATTTAAAAATTTATTTTTATACAGCTGATACGCTTTTTATACTACTTCTCCCACAACTGAAAACATGCATTAATAACATGAGAGACTGCTCCTGCAGTTACTGGTCTTATAAACATTGATAAACAGATCCTCAGATTTAAAACCAGATTAATATACTGATTGCTGTTTGTCAAACCTTTGTTTCCAATATGCAACACTCCGCTCAATTGTCTGAAGGTTACCTGTCGTAGTTTACCCAGAAATGTAAACCTGAAGTCACTGTAAGTTTTGCTAGAAACCTTTAGAGAGGAGTAAGTTAAAGAGGAATTTGCCTCTGGCTGTATAAACTATTCTTTTTTTAAGTCCTTAACTGTGAGGGTTCTGTTTTCTTTATTTAAAGCACTGAGCTACATGAAGGCCTTATTTAGTATTCTTTAAAGACTAGAGAAGGCTAATTTGTTTTAATTAATTTATTCAGTGATATAGCCCTTCTTCCTGTTTATGAATTATCCATGAGCAGACTGTGGTTTTTACAAATTCATTCTTTGTTCAGAATTACTCAATGCGTGTTTTGTGTGGACCTTTTCTGGTCTATGTAAACTAGGTCAGTGCTACTCTGTTAGTGACCACTAAAACTCTGTGCATCCACTGGTCAAAGACAATGTGAACAGAGGTCATTTCCATTGCCAAGGCATGACAGAAATCTTCAAGCCTTTCTTTAGGAAAAAAAGGTCTGGCAAAAGGAGTAGATAATAAACCACTGTGGGGTTTTAAGCTTATAGAAGGAAACAGCATTAATTGAAAGGGCTAGTGTTGTGGTTTGAGGTAAAAAGGGTAGAATTAGGACAGTAAAGGGTAGAATAGGACAGTGGTAAGGAAGCAGAAAATGCAAAGTGTTATTGCAATAGTTTTGCTTTGATCACCTTGCAGGGTATTCTGGACCACTGAAAGAAATTCCTCCTGAAAAGTTCAACACTACTTCCGTGCCAAAGTATTATCAGTCTCCCTGGATAGAAGCCATTAGGGATGATCCAGAGCTGCTGGAAGCTTTATATCCTAAACTTTTTAAACCTGAAGCAAAGCCAGAACTGCCTGACTACAGGAGCTTTAACAGGTAATCCTGAATGGTGGCTGAATTTTCATAGTGCAGAAAAAAAATTACTATGAAATTAAACATTTCCACCACCAGTAAAATAACCTGCCACCTGTGTTTGCAAGTAGATGCATAAACACAAACATGCACACAGATTACAAGTGACAAGAACATTAAGGAGGATACTAGTCTCTTTATAAAAAGTATGGACCCAAAATTCACTTGTAGACCCAGGTATGTAAGACGAATTGCTGAAAATATTGAAAGAAAGGAAAAAACAGAATGCAGTGTAATAAAATATGGGAAATATGGGCCATAGCAATGCTTCAGATTCCTTGCAGTATTTCTGTTGTTGACTTCAGCAGGTATGGGATCATGAGATATATCAGGGAACTCAGTCCAAATGCTGTTTGTAAGCTGTATAGTGCAAACCACTCTTTTTTTAATTATTAATACAACTCACATGATTTGTTTTTTAGGCAACAATAGTACAGTGAGCTTTATCCCTCAACCAATCTTTTACATCACACAGCAGATTGCATATTTTATTGCATTTATGTTTTTTATATCGTCAATAACCTTTGGTAACAAATTGACAGGTAAAATACTACAAACAGACAAAAACCATTTCAAGTGGAATGGGATCTGAGAGTGAAGTTATTTACATAGTAACTAGTTTACTAAAGCTTTCAGGAGAACTTCTAAATATATGAACAATATTGGGTTTTGAACTATTTTGAATGTTTTAAAACACATTCGTATTTATGTCTTTCACTTTTATTTGTACCAATCATACCGTCTTTATTTATTGAAGCTATGGACAATTTTTCTCTAAATAATGCCTGCTGAGTTCCAGACAGCTGAGCCAAACCAAAACCTCTCCCCAAAACACCAGACAGCAAGCTATTGAAAAAGAAAACAGCTCATGGCAACATAAACGTAGAGAAAAATGCCGCACACACCGCGTGTGTTTCTGCCATTGAGGTGGGCCTCAACTATGAGTGCAAGGACTAGGTTACACAACTCAGCATTAAAACTGGCCCTGCAGACACTACACTAATTCTGATTTCCTAAAAGCAATATACATGATAATGCTGATAATTGTCTGTGTGGCACAGTCTTGTCAGCAGACAAAATGGCATATACAAGACAGAGATGTGCCACAGCTGCCATCACTGAAACAGTAACAGCAGAGTTTGTTATTGTAACCGAAAAAAAACCAAACAAACACAACAACAAAACCTGACAAAGACAGATATATATATATATACACATTTGACAGAGATAGAATCAGTTGTCCCTCTCACAAGACAGATTCTGAGTCCAGCATGCGACTCGTGCCTGTGAAAGACAGGATCAGAGTGAGCACAGAGGCCCCATTAATAGGGATATGTGTCTGGAGATGGTATCTGATGGAGGCTTTGTGGATTTTTAGCTGCTCTGTGGTACCATGTTCTGCTTGTTGTCCTCTTTACAACACTAACTGTCCAAATTTCTTGAATATATGGGCATTCATTCAAGGGAAAGGTCAATATTCTCCCTTGTAACTCCCATAAAAACCTAAACCCTGGCAGATAAATCCAGATCCTGACTGTGAAATTGGTAAATTCAAAATGCAAGGCATACAAAAATAATCTACCACAACTCCCCTCATGGCAAAAATCCACATTCAGAAGAAAATAAAAGGATGCCTGGTGGGCCTAGAAAAGCTGCTACATACTAGCTTCTTGGAGAGGATTTTACAGCCATGACTTTGGTGTCTACACCCCTAAAAACACACAGGGGAGTGAGGTGTCTGATTATGGAATTCAAAGCAGACAGCACACTGCATGCCAAGCTAACCAACAGAAGACAGTGCAGAGAAGGCTAAATGTGACTTAAATTTCTCTTTGTTAAGGCCATCAGCAGGTAATTCTGACTGTCTCTCCTCAGGTCAGCGCTAGATTAAGGCCATCCTTTCCTCAAACAGAGTAGAGGTCACTAATTCTTTTAAAATTTGTATAGACAATAAGGTTCATTTCTTTGGGAAGAGCACTTTCCTAGATACATGGCCAGCCTGGATTTATTCCTACAGGAATGTCAAACCCTGAGGACAGGTGTAACAATCTGGTTTCTGGCTCTTCCATGGCAGAGGTGAAAACACTCTTCACTTCCCTTATTAACACTTGTGCCATAGTACAGAAAATAATAAACCTCTTTGGGCTAGAGGAAGTAAACATCTTCCTCTAGCTGAACAATTAAGGAACTCACTTGGGGAAAGAGAAACCTGGGCCTACATCTGAATTCCCAGATCTTTAAAAGCACTTTCTTAATTACTTCTTGCAGTAAATGAAACAGATTTAGGAACAGAAAACAGGACCTACAGGACCTAACAGGACTTCTCTGCTATTAGTTGTGCAGCTTGACGTCTAGGCTAAGAGTCTTGTTCTGTCTAATCCAAGTATTTGTTTTATTTCTGGATAGCATTCTTGCTGAAATATTCTATGTGAGCAGTGAGGCCTGCTCCTACAAAGGGATGCCCTCAGACTAAAGAGAATCCAAATCTCTTGCAGAAGAGCTTCAGACACAGACACACTATTATTTAGCACAGAGGTGCAACACAAACAAGCATGCATTTGCAGTGAAGGCTCCTTGATGTGCCTTTTTGCTCAAAGAGTGCTGCAGTAGCATCTTATGTGTGCTTTCAAGCATAGAATTTTAGGCAAAAGTTTATTAGAGAATCACACATGAGCTTTGGTGTAAAATCAGTGCAGCTGTTAGTATAGCTAAAATAAAGGCAGATCTGAGCATTTCTGTCAGGAAAACATTTGGCATCTCAGGAATTTAGCAGCCTATGGGCTTTGTGCATAAGGTGAGATACTTCTTTGGACTTCTGTGTCTAGATCCTACTAAGTCATTCTGTGCATCTAGGTCACAGCATCCTTAACTTTAATTGCAGTCTTGGAGAGAAAGCAAATGATACTGTATTAAACAACTAAAGTGTGGCATAATGACACCATTTCGTTATCACTGAGGGTATCAGCAAAGGCTTTCTATCATGCTTCATCATTCAGTAAAGTACCATTATGTTTGTTCTCCTGCAAAACACTGGTATAGTCATCATTAGTCAGGAGAGGGTGTGGTGAACAGTATGTGTGGTGCATAGGGCTCCCAAAGGAAATGGGCCTGAGATTCTTTCCAGTTCATCCAGTGGTGTATGTGACAACGGCACCCAGACTTTACAGGCCATATTCAGGTTCTTTTCAGCTTTACTTGTTACACAACACACTATAAAAGCAACACAACTTCAGCAGCTAGGGATGTCTGATGTGTTGGAACACAACACCTACATGCATGCATGAATGGCTTAGAAGTATATTCAACATTAAGCAGCATTCAGATGTTTTTTTCCACTGCCAGTAATAAAGAGATGACTCTGGACCCTGTAGCAGTGCAATTTTTATAACAGTAGCAGAATCAGAGCTAAGGTATTCACAGAGGTGTTAGCTGGGGTGCAGTATGCATTTTATGCTGCAGGGGTCTTGCAATGTTGGCAGGTCAATGAGGGAAGAAGCAAGGGCAGCAAAGGTCAAGCACATTCGGCTTCTGCGGCAGGGCCAGTAGTGGTTTAACAGCACACAGCACTAGACAGTGCATGATCAGAGAAATTGGCTTCTGAGGATCTCTGAACAGACTGTTCAGACCAGGCTACCCTTCCTCCTCCAGAATGAAAATTAATCTGTGCTAGCAAAGAAATGCTGCAGAACAGAGACATGCTATCTGATTTCCCCTGGATCTTAATTCCTGTTAGGATTGAAGAACTATTTACTGGAGAAAAACGTCCTTGCCTCTTTTACCAGTGTGGAATCACCTAGTAACCATACGTGGGAAAGACAGCACGAATTTACATTTGTTGAGGAGTTTGTAATATCAGTTAAATTAGTACCTTTATTCCACCTCCCTTCTTGGAGCTGGATAAAATGTCAAAGGTAGGATTATGAGTAACATACAAAGCACTACAGCTTACTCACAAGACAAGCAAGTCTGACGAGTTCTGCCTCTCCTACCAGATACCTTCTTGCTCAGCTTTCTCAATTCCCAAAGACTACTGTTTCAAAAGCACTACAGGAATGCAGTCCATCTGGCCTGGGCTCTGTTTTTTACTGATTAATGGATTCTGAACTGTATTATAAAACTGCTGAGATCCAAAGGCTCAGAGGAATTTTGGGTGCTAACTTGAAGTCATGTGAGATTAGTAGAAGCTGAGTGCTTAGCCAGTTCCATAGCACCTAAATGCCTCTGTAAAATTGGCATTAGTCCTTCATTATCATGAAGACTGGAGCAATTTGCAGAGTCAGGGGCTTTGCTCCTGTGTCTGCTCTTTTTGCACAGAATTAGCAATACACAGAATATTCTAAGAATGACAGTCCCATTTTAAAATGTGAAAGTCACATTTTTTTGTAATTAAATAATTGAAGATGCAAATCCAATACAGTTAAAACATTTATTCAGAGTTTCCCAAACAATCAACTACAAGTAGCTTCCTATGTTGAGACAAGATAATGTTCAAGAAGAGAGACTGCATGGGGAAAGAAAAAAAAAAAAGAAGCCCTGCTAAAACATCTAAAAATAATAAACATGATTGTGCTTGCTACTGTTAAATCATGCACCTACTTTTTAGGAATATGCAAAACAAGTATTAAACAATCTCTGACACTTCCCATGGCTCTGAACCAGCATTTCCGCCCTTATTATGAGCAGTGACAACTGGAATTTGTTACACGTGAATCTTAGGCTTCTCTACAATGAATCAGACTTCAAGGGATACAGTTGATGTGCACACAACACAGGTCATTACAACATCATGTTGTCAGGCAGGTTAGCGCTCACAAAAAGATACTGCAGCTGTAAAGGAAAACTAACATCTATTACCCAATTACTGCAGTCTCCTTGACGTGGATCATCATGTGCTTCTGCCTAGCGTGCAGGAATGAAGAGCGTGCATGAATGCAGAGCACTCTGGGGCCAGACTTCGCAGGGGAACTACATGGGGTTTCTTTCACACAAAAAGATCTTTGAATTTCCACAGAACACTCTCCTGTTTCTGTTACATACAGAAATGTACTGCATTTAAAACCCCAAAACACTACAAAGAGGAAGTTTCACACTAGAGAATTGTTTTGCATTCTATACAGCTATTATTGTCCTGTTCATATTAATTATCCTTTTAATTTACATGTCAATGAAAAGTAAATATTACAACAATGTGGGAATGTGTATCTTAATCAGAGCAGCAATTAAACCAATCTTTATTATCCAGTAAGATGTAAATCACTACCTTCACTCTGTGCCAATTACCAAGCAATTATCTTTAATCAATATCATACAGCATCCAATTTGACTTTGTGACCCAGAAGAGTGTTTCACATGAAAAGCTTGATACCACAGCCACCTTGTATACAGAATTGCCTTTGACCTCAAGAGAGTTTAATGCCTGGCCTGTCTGCTGCTGCAAAATCTTGCCTTATGTTCATTTGAGAAACAGTTTCACAGCTTAATCCAAAGCAGCACTCTTCTCTCAGTAACTGTACACACTCAGAACTTTCATGTTTTTTTTACATCTTACAGAATTGACCCTTTGGGGTTAACATCACCTCCTTCAACAAACACTGCTCATATCAAAATTCAGTGAATTGCCTGTGTAATGACAAAACAGTACCATTTATTTTAAGTCACAGGTTCATTTTTCTGAATTAATATCTTCTTTTTTTTTTTTCTTTTTGCTTTTTCTTTTTGTATATGTAATTAATTCTCTCCAGCCTTTGTTTCGTCTATAGTTATGTTGCTGAAAATCGTAGCCAGATCTTCAAATGATCTCTTTTAGTTTCTGTTGGTATTAATTTCTCTGGGCATCTGCTAGCATACCTGCTGCCACTGGAAATACATACCAGCAGATCTGCTGGTTTGTACCAAACACACAGAACCTGGTGACATTCCAATCCAACAAAAATTCATTTTCACATGCCACAATGTATTTAGCTCTGCAGAAATCAGGTGTTCATGTGTAGGTTAGAAATGTGACACTCCTAACTGGCCAAAATATATCCCAGCAAAGTTATGCAGCTGATCAAAATGCAGAGCACACACAATCGTCTGGTCACATTTGCTTATACAAAGGAGTCTGGAAAAAAGTGACAGAAAAACTCAGGGTTTTGGGTTTTTTTGTTTGTTTTTTTTTTTTTTTTAGCCTAAAAATCTGCAAATGCAGAAGAATCCTGGGAGGAACTTGGAAAGACTGTTGTTTTAAATAGATGTAAATGCATGCAACAGTCAGTTCCTGCTCAGTATTTCTTAACTTTTCATTTCTTGGGCTTATCTCCTGAGGGAACATTCACATTTAAATGAAATGGAAAATACTGGCTGAAGACTAGAGGCCAGTTTCAGCCAGCGTTTAGTTACATAAACATTTTCTTCAGAAACAGAACTGGTGTAAGAAGTCCTCACCCATTCCTATCCTTTCCAGAAGCCTGTTGTCTTTGGCTGTTTCCTTCTGCTTCACATTACACTTTAGTGCATCTTCATTTGTATTGCTACAGTTGTCTGAGGGTAAGGATATGAACCAGATTGCTGAAATAATTTTGAATGTAAAATGTTCCTGTGTTTTGAAGAGTCTTTGTTGAACCCAGAACACATAGGTGACTCAAGTTTACAGCACAACCCACATACATTCTAGCTGGTACAACAATATGGTACTGAAATGTAGTTTAGTGGGAGGAACAATCAACAGGGGACAGGAGGAAATAGGGTGAGAACTTCCTAAACTAATTACCTGCTAAAGAGAATGTGCTAAAGTGTTTTCAGACTTACCAACTTATCACTGATGAAGTAAATTTAGTAACTGTGACTCACCAATGACAAGGTTTACTTGCAACATCTTTTTCTCTCTGCTTTTCTGTCCATTTGAATTTTAAAGAAGGCTGAAGGCTTTACCTAAGGGAAAATAAATCAGATCTTAAAGAGAATCGGTCAGAAAAGGAATCAGAGAATTTTTCCCAGAAATTTGAAAATGTAAGCAAGAAATTGCACCAAATCTGTGTCATTAAAACAGCTGCTATTCTTGTCAGCTCCTGGGATGAAAAGGAAACAGGTATTTTAAAAATCACATTTTACTTTTATTTCTCTAATATCTACAGAGTTGCCACTCCCTTTGGTGGTTTTGAGAGAGCATCAAAGCTGGTTAAATTCAAGGTACCAGACTTTAATCTACTGATGCTAAATGATCCCAGATTCATGATCCTTGCAAATCCTCTTGCTGCCAGAAGATCCTTCAATAGGACTCCTAAAGGATGGACATCTGAGAATATTCCTGTAGTGTTCATTCAGCCTTCGAATTCCGATGCTGTTCCAGAAACAGAGGACCTGTGAGAGAAGCTGCACTCGACATCGTACAAAATGCTGAAGCTGCACATCCATGTATTTTTGGTCCAAAGATTACCAAAGGCTACTGACAACATTTTTCCTTGGCAGCTGGAGTAGAAGTAATAATGTCTGATACATTGTCTCTTTTCTGGCACTTAGTTTCATCTGTAGACATAATAAAGTAATTTGGCAAATGTAATTGATATTTTCTGTTTGTGTTTACATGTGTTTCTTTTACTTTCTAAAATCTTTGTTTGTCATTTAAGAACAAGTGTATTTAAAAACAAAGAAAGAAACAAACAAAAAACCCCCCACTACTATCAAGGGATTTGATTTGATAGCTCTGCTGATTATGGTAAAACAACTGAGCAACAAAAACCACAGCAGAACACTCTATGCTTTCAAGTACTGCCTGCTCAAGATAAACTCTGCCAAATCAACCTTTTTTTCCTCAACCCTGATTTCAGCCAAAGTTAAGAATTTTGTCATTACTTCAGTGACAGTAAGTTTAGGCCAGTTTCCTCCTTTGTGATTCTTCCTCAGCTTTCACTATTGATATCAATGTCACCTGGGTTTGTTTAAAGGAAATCCAGTACATTTGACAATGACAGAGATTAAGTAGTAGTATGAAAAACTACAGAGGTATTTCCTCGCTAAGTCTAGAATGTTTGTGTTAATCACAACTGAAAACCTACCAATGACTGGTTGGGTCAGACATACCAACTTACTATCACTTATTATCATCTTACCACAAATGCTTTTGTTACTACAAAGAAATTTCATAGACCTTTTTCCCTATAGCCATAGTATGTATTAGTACTTAAAAGCAAGGACTTAACTCCCTGTTTCAAAATGTTTTCATGTTTGAGAAGTAGCTAACACCTGCAGGTTAGATATTCTAATATATAGTTTAGTTTTTCTGTGTTTTGGAACAGGAAACTTTGCTTCAGCTAATAGACCATTTTCATATATATGCTTCTTCAGGGCACCATGGTCTCTAAGTATGAATGCAAAATCCAAGAGGTTTCTGGGTATCTCAGATACTGCTTTTTTTTTTCTTTAAACTAGAAAATTAATAAAATTTTGCAAGCTCTATGGCAACATGTTAATCAGATTTTTTTCTCCAAAGGAAACCCATAGAAGATGATGACAATAAGCAAATAAAATAGTTATTTCAGACATTTTCCTTATTGATGGTTTGGTGGCTTTGAGCTACAAAAGTGAATATTTCAGAAAAAATAATCAAGATCTGAAGAAAAGAATGGTAGAATGAGATCTAAAATGGAAAGATCAACAAAAACTTTTGCCTGTACTTTTGTGGCTGAAATCTGTGCAAAAATGGTTTCTACTTTTCAAATCTGGTTTCAAGACAGGTAGCTGGCAAAGGCAATTCTGTCATCTATTTTCTTTAGTTTACTTAGCAGCATAAACTACAGAAACAAATGTGGAGGTCCTGGGCAAATTTATGAAAGAGAAAAAAACCAAGCAACCTCATGGACTGAGAATGCTTTCCTAGCAAAAGATTAGTTTAGGGACCTTAACTATGCATATTGCACAACAATCATATGGACAATGAGAAATACATGAATCCTTCAAGGCTAAAAATGCAAAGGCTAAAGAAAAAAACTATGGTGAGGAACAATGCAAATGAGTTCTGGAGGAATTTGGTTTTTATGAGCCAGCATACGCATTTGTAAACCTATCTGAACAGAAATACAAGGAGACTGGTGTGCAGCATATATACAGTGAGGACTGTGAAGAAGGGATAGTTCTTTTCTTATAATATACTCTAAAAATAACCTATAGATGCAGAGCACGCCGCCTTATTTCTTATACAATACACACAATGGTAATTTCAGTTTCCTATACACCTATGGATCCACCGGCACAAAATGGGCTCAAGAAGCTTAAACTGTTTGAGAAGTACAGAGCCTGCTGTGCATGTGTTCAGCTGACCGTCCAAATAACAGTATCAGATGTGGCTGGAAATTACCCCAGTCCTTAAGTCCTCCAGTTCTGTCTGGGACATCTGAAATGAGCTGGGTCACAGCAAAACTGGGAGCTCTAATGCAACACTCTGCTACAGTTATCAGCTGCAGCAGAAGAATAAGAGCTCTGCCTCCTGCTTTCCTAGCTTTACTATCGTAGAGCTATTTATACACTATAAATCAGATGTACCCAGAGCCCTCTTATTAAAACAGGCCAGCTGTCAGAGAGGAGCCTGCAGCCATACTATTTAATCTTCCCATGCTGGGTGGCTTTTGCCAAACTGCCTACTGGGGACAGGCCCTTGATCACGCTAAACTCTGGAACCACACTTGGGAACTGTTAGAGAGTGTTAACTGGCAGAAGCTAGGACTGTGCCATGTGGGAAGTATTCAACAGCACCGAGGATCCAGCGCCAGTGTACAGGAATGTTCCCTGGCTGCAGCAGCCTTGACGGAGCCTTATTGTGCAAGTCTCACTGCAATAAAAAAATATCGCCGCCAAAATCCAATTCCTTTGCCACAGAGGAAGAGCTCTTGTTGATGCTGGGAATTCAGAGATTCTCTATTGACTTCAGTGGGTTTTAGCTCCTGCATTTATCTTCTGAGACACTTACAGGGCACTTGAAATATATCCTATAACTAGAGAAAAGACATTTTGGGTAACCAATGATGAACTTCAGAGAACAAGATTTGCATTAATAGTTTTAGACAAAGACATGGTTCTGAAGTGAGAGAATAAAGGTGTCTTTAGGTATAGTTCTACAAAGACCAACAGATAGATATTTTTAAATTTTCAGTAGTGCTTCTAAAAGCTTCTGTTAGCTGTAAGGAAAACAGCTGAAAGGATAGATTAAGCAGAAAAACACATGAGCAACAGCTTTACACAAAACAATTACAGATATATAAATATTTCAGAAAATATGCATACAACATCATGTACACTTGATCACAGGGCACTCCTATTTGCTTCTGAAAGAGAAAGGAACTGAAGCGTATGATGAAAAAGTAGGAATGTGGTAGGAGTAAATATATGGTTTAAAATGTCTAGAAATCTTTGTTCCAAAAGTTTTTTGGCCTCATTTTAATTTACATTAAGGTAACCACTGTGGCAGTATAGAAGGAACTTAAAAATTCATTTAAGTGTTTTCAGGAAAAATATGGTGAATTGAGGAAATATATCTGCTACTTCCAAATCTATAGAAAATACTCTGTTATTATAGTATGTACAAAAGAAATGAGATATACACTTCTGAATAGCCCCATAAATATAAGGGTTTTTTTAAAACGTATGCACTTTAAACTTCTTTTGACATGAAAAGCCAGGGTTCATGGCCTGTACTGTCTGCACTGTTGAGGATAAATTGCTATCAGCAATAACAGTTATCAGAAGGGGTTTGTATTTTAACCCCATACCCTATGTTCAGGTTATGGCCTGAAACCATGTTTATTAGTGTTACTTATGACACTCCTATTGCACTCACTTTGGTCAGACTCATAAAATGATATACTCATATTTCATTTTACCCAGCTAAGCTAATTGTCAAAATTACCCTAATATGTAAAGTCCTTCACTGGCAGTACCAAAATAATTGCAGAAGTATTGCATAAAGTAGATGATGTGAAGTTTGTTCTTGAATCCAGCAGGCCCCTGCCTCTCTGACGCTGGCTTCTGGTGATGTTCTATTTGCTTAGGTCTGGTATAAGGTATGTTTGCATGAATGGGGTAATAAAAGCCCCATATGGTCTCTCTCTCAGTTTCAACAAAAAAACTGCAGCTGATTTGTTCTCTGGTTGTTGTGTAATAGAGATCATGTGTCAGTACCAGGAAATGACCAATTCATGTTGTTACTGTACTACTGTCCAGTAACATTTTGTTTCTTAATCTTGTATTTTTGATGTATATTTTTTTCAACTGCATACACCCTTCTTAGAGAAGTGTGTCAGCACATCTTGGCTGCTTTCTCTCCTGCAGAATCCATACAACTGACAATTGGGGAAATAAATTATTTCATTGTCTCAAAGTATCTCTGTGTTTTAATTAATTTAAAACACATGTTTTCAATCAGCAGCAGAAAAAGCACATTGGAGATGGAATTCTGAGCCCAGCAAAATCAAACAAGGGTTTTGGCACTGACCTCTGTGCAGACAGAATTTCACCATTGATGGCATTTTTCTTCATTTCAAATGTATATTTGTAAGTGAAATTCATGCCACCACCAAAGCTACTTCAGAGTAGATGTTTTGGATTACAGAGCTGGGCCTACAGACGTATGTACTTTCTTTTGCATGGTACATATGATGAAGTGCAAACAAATCTAATAATGCCTCAGAATCAGTTTGGGAAACTGCATGTTTATGTATGAACCATAGGTAAAAAATGAGCACATATCTACTAAGATCTTTTAAAAATTATTTTCAGACCAGCCATGAATAAGCTGCACTCTGCTTCAGTTCTTAGATGGCCTTACTAACCAGCACAAAATATTCTGGGCTGTACTTAAGACAACAGGATAAAATATACTTCCTGAAATACAGTAAGACTGTATGTTTCCATATATGTTAAAATAGGTTTTCTCAGTGGGAGATCCATAAATTATAAGCAGTCTAGACAGAAATACCAGAAGATCCCCATAGGACTGACAAGTCACGTAGTGCTGGCTCCTTCGTTATTCCCAGAGGCTACATACTGTTCAAAAACAAATCAAGTGCTCTAAATTATTTAGAAATAATACTTTTGCCAGAGTATTATTATGTAATTTGGTGTGAGAATACAGATGATATAAAAATAAACTTCAGTCAGCATACAGATATAGCTTAAGAAATTAAAATTGAATATAAAATACTCTTATTAAAAGAAAATTTAAAAGTAACTGAAAGGGTAAAAACTTTTCAAGGGAATAGTACATTATTTTAAACAGCCTGCAGCCTAAGTGTTCAGAATACACAAAGACTACTGAAGACCTCTAACACTCCCCTCCAAAAACGTCAACATAGTTTAAGAGTAGAATAGAGGATACTCAGAAAACAAAAAGACAAAGAAAACTTCTCTGGAAGGAAACAGTAATTAGGCTATCTAAACACAAACAAAGGAAGTTATGACAGAGGTCTCCATGAATGGTATGGAGACGATGAAGAGGGAACAACATCACAGGAACAAACTGACTCTTAATAAAAGAAGGAATCCACTTCAAAATTAACACACTAAA